TTTAAATTTTTTATCCAGTAGAATTTATTGAATTATAATAACATAATCTTTATTTCATTGGTTTATTTATTTTAATGAAAACATGCATGATATTTAAAAGTTTTGTCTAAAACGTAATAGATAAGATTGTAAATTTGGGAAACAAGTATATACATGTAAATATAAGTATAAAAGACATTGTATACAAGAATTTTTATTGCATGTATGTTAAATATTTAATTACAATATATTTCATAAACATAGTATCAACAAAAAAGAAAAACAACACATTATTTTGCTTTGTAGATAGCAGAGAAGAAGGAAAAAGCTCAAGTAGAACAGGACAGGAAAAAAGCAGAATTTAAAGCTGGTCATCATATTGGTGTAAGTGATATTGTAAAATTGCATGACTATCACCATATTATGAGTAATATTAATAAGTTAAAATTTGCTGATCATCATATTGGTGTAATTATAATAGATAAACTCTACTGGTTGTTCCCTTAATGTAAGCTGAAAGGAAATATAACTCTGCATGTTATCATCATGGTGTAATATCCACCATAAATATTGCTGTTGTTTGACTGATATAAAAAATATTATATTAATCTTGAACACTGATGGTCAACAGTTTGATTTTAAGTAGCACTAAAGTAATCACTGTTGTTAACACTTTGTAAAATCCTTCTTAAATATACTGATCATCACTCTGATATAAAGAATATTATTTATTTTCAACATGGCTTAAAGACAGCAGGACATCTTGATGTAGGATTTTGACATTAGTACATTTATATTATGGTTTTATTTTGACAGTAATACATTTATATTATGGTTTTTATTTTGACATTATATAGCACAAACTGCATTATTAATGAGTATGGTCATAGAGTGTATTTAAACTTGTCATCAACATACTTCTCATTGTTAAGTAAGTTGATCTGAAGAGTAAACTAGGATCTTCATAGTTATGTCTTCAAACAGCTCAGTGGACGAGAGATGTTTACATTCAACCCTGACTTGGCTTTAGAAGGCCAGATGGATGAAGATGAGGCAGCATATGACCTACTTCCTCGGGAAGATATTGAGGTATTAATATTTAGTCTATTATCAAGGTATGAGGGCTTGTTATGCATGTTCTTTCATTTCTTAAGACTTTTCATGGAAATTTAACAACAACAAAAAGTTGTTATGGAAACTTGCTTACTTAAACCATGCATGTTTTATCCATAATACAGTATCATTTGGTATGATAGTGTCTCTTCAAAGAGAAAAAGAAGTTGTACAGTAAAACATTTATATATTATTATTCTGCCTCTACATTACAGGCTATGGTGTCACAAGGATATTGGAAACATTCTCTTAATACAAAAAAACAATATAATTGTAATCTTTTTTTACCTAACATCAATGTCACTTAAATCTGAATTTAAAGAAATCCCAAGCATCAGGATAATATGCGATTCACAAGTTGGTTCAATCATATTGGGACCAGCTAAGTACCAGTGAGTTTCATCATTTTCTGTTTGAATAGGACAAAGTGCCAAAATATTATTAAATATAAAAAATAGAATATAAAATAGAAATATTACAATGCATATCACTTGAAGAAAACTTTCCAACAGCAGTTGATTAATACCAGCAAACTTGGTTGTTAGTGTGATACATCAGTGAACAATTTTGTGTCTGTTGTACCTGGGAAATTGAAAATTGATATTAAAAGACTTTTATAGTTTTGGAGGAAATGAAAGTAATCTTCCAAACTTAAACTCAATCCAGTAGTTTAAAAATAAATATATATATTAATTTCCTTCGAGTGCTAAAAACTTAAAATTAAAACCTCTTGTTTAAAATATTTTATGAAAAATGTATCAAATAATGAAAAATATTAAAAAAATATGGATATTGTATCAAAGAAAGAACATTGGGTGTTTAATGGGACAGTTTACAGGCACTGTAAATGTTGAGTGAACTTTGCTGCATAGAATGTGAAGTTTTAAGTCAAGTTCTATAAAAGTTAATTATTTATTAAGAATCAGTCCCAGCTCCAGATTTTCTTAACTAGAGGGGGGGGGGGCAGTAAAACA